GTGCTTGGGCCCCTGCATGCACATGGGAGACCAGGAGGAAGCACCTGGCTCCTGGCTGTGGATCGGCGCAGCGCCGGCCGTGGCGGCCATTTGGGGGGTAAACCAATGGAAGGAAGACCTTTCTCTCTCTGTCTCTTTCTGTCTGTCTGTAACCTCTGACTTTCAAATAAATAAATAAATCTTTAAAAGAAAAAAAAGAAAAACTTTAGAAACATTAAATTGAATAGAGTTTATTTGAACAAAGAATGATTCATGAAAGAGGTTCAGACAGCTCAGCTCTGCATGCAGGGCAAGGAGCCATTACAGACAGAATAGAAAGTGAAGCGCAGAAACAGTTTGGTTGATCACAGCCAGGCAGTACCTCATTTTCACCTAGACTGATCAGTTAGCTGCCTGTGATAGGCTGAACCTTTGCCTGCCTGCGACTGGCTGAGCTTCAGCTATTTGTTATACACCCAAGTTTGGTTTTTAGTGTGTGTATCAACTAAGTTAGGGTGCAGTTCACAACATAGAGTCTCAATGTATGCAAGACAGCCCCAGGCCAACGGCCTCCTGCTTATTTAACATAGCCCTAGTTTAATTTTTCATTAGAATTGGGTATGAGCAGTCAGTGTCCACTTTCCTACTCAAGACCCTGCACTGACTAGTAAAGATGCCTATTAGTGCAATGCAGCATGGACTTCACTAAAGAACCCCTGGGTGCAGCCCAGAGGGTTTATGCCCTGGTTTCAGCTGAGAAAGGGTGAGTCTGAAGCATCCTGTGTCAGGAAAGCTTTGGAGTTTTAGGACTGGGTCGTGACAGCATCACGATGGTGGGGTGTACAGAACAAGAGGCCAAGTTCTGGCAGTGTCAATGAAATGTAATCATGGTAGCCGGGAGAGGCCCACTATTCCAACTCCTTTAGGAACTGCATGGGAGAGGTGAAGGGCCAAACTGGTGTGGGTCAGGTAATCTGTTCTGGGACATAGGTCTAATAAAACTGTAGCCTGTAACTGGCACCAGTTTCTCAGCAGTAATTAAGATGTGGAGGACAAGGCTATGTCTCTACTGTTGTTGGATAAAATAAACACCTGGACTTCAAACACTGGCATTCAGAGAATGCCCAACTTCTCACTCCCTACCCCTGCTGAGAGAGAAGGTTTAGTGCATGTTGTGTGCCACTGAGAGGGCCCAGGAGGTGGCCATCATTGGGTGCTCAGCCATGCCTAGTGCAGAGATGCACACCTGAGGGAATGGGGAAGCCAGCTGATACTGAGTACAGAGCCTCAGTGTCTGCTGCCATCTAAGTCAAATACCTGGGACACATTGAAACTGTTTCCTTGAAGGGTAAAGTCAGATGTATCCATTTGTGACCCTGATTAAAAAGAAAATCCCGTAGATCCCTTAGACCAATTCAGTTTAATAGCATCTACTGAACAGCGTTTATTCAAGCAAAGCAAACCCTGGTGAATCAAGCAGCTCCCAGAAGGAGAGCAGGTTCTGAGAACTCCAACAACATGAGCCAACAACATTTATAGAACATTAAATGTGAGGCATGGGAAACTACTCAATTTGTTACAGCTTAGTCAACCATCCAGTCAATGGGTTACAGCTTAACTAGTTAATTGTTTATAGCTTCATCAGTTAAATGGCTGCAGGGCCTTTTGCAACCAGGCAAAACTCAGTTCCTGTGATTAAATTAAATATTGGTTTCATCTTTTGAGCCCAGTGCAGAGGCCCAGTCCGATTCCACGGCTTCTTACTTTATTTACTAGCAGTATGTCTGAAGCGTGTGTTTAAAATTTATAGATAAGGGAGGGGAGGAAGCTAGAATGATCTGGGTGGTAATCACTGAGGTTGATGCAATATTATAGCTTGCTCTGGCTCATAAGATTTCTTGGGAGTTGAAGGTTGAGTTATCCTCACAGCCTGATAACCTGATGTGCTCCTCTCCCCAGGAAAGTGAGCGTATGGAGTGGCAATAATCAGTGCTTCTGGTGGCTACTGGGAACCTACCCTCCGAGGGGGCCTGGCTGGGCAAGTGGAGTAATTGCTTTTCAGACTGGCCTTTTTTCTGCTTCCTTGGTTGCTATGCCAATTGACAGTTTTCTTTAGGTATAATCTCAGTGCCTCTGAGACCATGTCTCCTCATTAGGAAGAGAGATTCTTTTTAAGCAGTGCTTGCCAAACACACACACACACACACACACAAATGACTAACTAGGGAGGAAAAATCAAGGGCTCTGAAACATATAAGCATAAAGAGAAAATTTCTTTGGCCTTTTTTTTTTAAAAAAAGATTTATTTATTTATTTTGAAAGTCAGAGTTAGAGAGAGAGGGAGATCTTCCATCCTCTGGTTCACTCCTCAAATGGCTCCAACAGCTAGGGCTGAGCCAGGCCAAAGCCAGGAGCCGGGAGTTTCATCTGGATCTCCCAAATGCATGGCAGGGATTCGAGCACTTGGACCATCTTCTGCTGCTCTTTCTAGGACATTGGGAGGGAGCTGGATCAGAAGTGGACATGAACCAGTGCCCATATGGAATGCTGACATCTCAGGTGGTGGCTTTATCTGCCAAGCCTCAGTGCCAGCTCCAAGGGAATTTTTTCTTTTATTCTTTTTTAAGATTTATTTATTTATTTATTTGAGAGGCAAAGGTACAGAGAGAGGTCTTCCATCTGCTGGTTCACTCCCCAAATTGGTGCAATGACCAGAGCTGGGCTGATCCAAAGTCAAGAACCAGGAACTTTTTCCAGGTCTCTCACTTGGGTGCAGGCGCCCAAGGACTTGGGCCATCTTCCACTGCTTTTCAGGTGTATTAGCAGGGAGCTGGATTGGAAGTGGAGCAGTTGGGATTTGAACTGATGCCTGTATGAGATGTTAGGGCCACAGGGAATTCCCCAAGAGAAATGTTCCTGATTTCCAATGGCTCTTATAAATCAAAAAGGAAAAGGCAGAGAAAGGGGAAAGAGAAACAAATAGCTGGTAAGACTAAAGAGTCCAACCCATACCGTGCTTGCTGATGTACCTCACTTATGCACATGTCCCTTTCCACCCACATTCTTATTTTTCCCTGTTTTGGGAACTCTTCAGCCTTAAGTTGGGCATTTGCATCTAACCACCCTTGGTGTTATTTCTTCTCTAAACAGCCTGAGTGACCTTCCCACCTGGAAGTCTGCTCATGCTAACTGCTCTTTGAAGTAGAGACACGGTGCATCTTCATCTGGGCCCTGCCTAGCTTTCCTGCCTTAGCTCCTGCCACCTGCCCAGACCCTGGTGCATTCTGATCTAGCAGAATGGCTGCTGGGGCACAAACATGCTGTATTCTGTTTCCTTCCATGTCTTCAGGCCATCCCATGTTCCCAGAATCTCTTCTGCTGCCACTCCCTCCCCAAATCCCTCCTCAAGTTCACCTTTCTTTGCAAACATTCCTTCTTCTGAAAATGTCACTATGCTGAAATGCAGCTGCTCCTTTGTTATGGTTTCACTGCATCTTTTTTTTTTTTTTTGACAGGCAGAGTTAGACAGTGAGAGAGAGAGACAGAGAGAAAGGTCTTCCTTCCGTTGGATCACCTCCCAAATGGCTGCTACAGCCAGCACGCTGCGCTGATCCGATGGCAGGAGCCAGGTGCTTCCTCCTGGTCTCCCATGCGGGTGCAGGGGCTCAAGCACTTGGGCCATCCTCCACTGCCTTCCCGGGCCACAGCAGAGAGCTGGACTGGAAGAGGAGCAACCGGGACAGAATCCAGCACCCCAACTGGGACTAGAACCCGGGGTGCCAGCACCACAGGCAGAGGATTAGCCAAGTGAGCCACGGTGCTGGCTTACATTTTTTTTTCTTTTCTTTTTTTTTTTTTTGAACGGCAGAGTTAAAGACAGAGGGAGAAAGAGAAATCTTCTATCTGCTTTTTCACTCCCCAGTGACTCCACAGTGACTGAGGCTGGGCCAGGCTGAAGCCAGGAGCCTGGAACTCCATTCGGGTCTCTCACATGGGTGGCAGGGCTCAAGCATTTGGGCCATCATCTTCTGCTTTCCCAGGTGCATTAGCAGGGAGTTGAATTGGAAACAGTGCAGCCGAGACTCAAACCGGCACTCATGGGGTGCCGGCTAATGCACTGTGCCACAAGGCTGGCCACTTTCACTGCATCTCGACATGCCTAGGCTCTCACACCATCTTCTGGAGTCGCAGGGGAGGCACCAGACTTCCCAGGAGCCCAGTGAACTCCTGGGTGCAGGGCCGGCTTCTTCTATCTAAACTTCAAATCCTCAGTGCCAGTCGGTGCAAAGCCTGGTCAATAATCAACGCATTGATTATCATCAATGCTGATAAGTAACTAATAAGACCTTTGCCTGTCCGGGAGTGCGGCTCTCAAGCTCCTTGCTCTCTGACGGGGGGGGGGGGGGGGGGGGGGGGGGGGGGGGGGCGGCGGGCTCTGACCCTCTCCAGAGTCTGCAGGGGCAGAGGGGGTCAGGTTCAAGTTTACACTTAAAGTACCTCACTCCTGTGGCCGGGCTGAAAACACCCAAAAGTCCTGGCCATGAGGGGGATTCAAGAGGCTGAGCCCACCAGCCTGGGATTTCAGACAGGGAGTTTTGTCGGGTGGGGAGGCCAGCTCAGGCCTGGCTTTACTTTCACTTTTCACAACAAACAGCCTGGGGAGCCTGGCCCTTGAGGTTCCCCCTCATTCCCCACGCTCCTCCCACACTGTCCTCAAGAGGGGGCGTCTTCTCCAGGGGGCAGGGATCTCATGGGCTGGCCTCCTTCCACTCTTCCACTTCCATGCCACGGTTAAAGAGACATTCTTTTGAAAAATAAACAAATGACCTCAAACCTTACCATGTCTAAGAAATTCTGCTGTTAGCCCAACTGCTTAGTTGAACGGAGCTGGTGTGTACCCGCCCCCCCCCCGCCCCCAGGCCGCTGGACCTCACCCTCCACAAGCCCTCTTGGCCTCTGGCACCCGATTCCAGGCCCTGCCTACTCCGGGCAGCCAATCCCGACCATTGTGGGGAAAGCGGGGGAAGGGCCGGCGCCGGAGCCGATTTGGCTCCGCCTGTCCGCCCGAGACCTTGAGTGCCAGCTCGTTCTCTCAGGCCCAGTTGCTGCGCCGTCCGTATTCAGGCTTTCGCTTCGCCATGGGCGCCGCAGGCTCTTCTGCGCTGGCTGGCCTCGGCCTCCCCGCACTGCGCCTCCCCGCGCAATCCCGGCCCGGGTGGCTCGGGGTCGCCGCCCTGGGACTGGCAGCAGTGGCGCTGGGGGCTGTGGCCTGGCGCCGCGCACGGCCCAGGCGGCGCCGGCAGCTGCAGCAGGTGGGCACCGTGGCGAAGCTCTGGATCTACCCGGTCAAGTCCTGCAAAGGGGTGCCGGTGAGCGCGGCGGAGTGCACGGCCATGGGGCTGCGCAGCGGCCACATGCGGGACAGGTACGGCCGGGTCGGGCGCGTGGCCTCTCGGGCAAGCCATGGAGCAGGAGGTGGGGCTTGTCCTCTTGGGAAAGGAGATTAGATATTTGCCTCCTGCGTTCTGGAGACTGAGGGCTGGCCTTTGATCCCTTAGCTGGGGAGGTCAAGCTCCTGTCTGAACTTGGTGAAGTAGGCAGCCCTGCCCCCTTGGACCGGCCCTCCTCTGTGGCAGGAGGGACTCTGACCTGCTTATCTCTGAGGCTTCTGCTGCCTGCAAGGCTTCCCATGCTGTCTTAGTATAAAGCCCAATAGCAGAAAATTAAGATGCCGTTGACAGTGGACAGGAACAAAGCAAAGCCCTAGTGTTGTTCAAACACACTGGCTCAGCCTTGCTGGGGCTGGTTCCTCCCGCTTCTCCAATCCTGGGAATTGTGCCTGTGAGGTTTGCTCCACTTTAATAAATAACCAGCGGAGTCTGCTCTTCTTCTGGGGCAGGGAGGGTAGCAGGAGGCTGTGAGGGAGAGTTCCCTACCCCCGGGGCTGGGGGGCTATTAGGAGAATGGTGCATCCACTTCTCCCAGGGGCGCTGTGGTCCTCAGCCAGGAATCTGGGAGCACAGTCCTTCCCTACATGAGGCCCACGATGCAGAAATTTCAATTTGAGGAGTCCCATGATTTTTATCTGGCTGGGATGATTTAGCTGGGGGAGGGGTAAAATATGCAAGTTGGTCATTCAAGGAACCTGCTAGCGGAAGGCCACCTGCTGCCCTGTGTCCACTGCAGGACGCGTGGGTGCTCTGCTGTCCTCTTGGAGAATATGGGCTCTCGTTGCACTGGAAAACATCACTTGCTTTAGAAAAGTGTTGCGTATGTAGACCATGTATCACACGGGAGATAGTCCATCCTCCTTCCCCATTCCAGATTTCTAATCCTGGAGAGGTTTTAAAACTGCAGTTTCCTGAGAGTGGTATCCCAGGCAGGACTACTGACTCAGAATCAACAAGAGTGAAGCCAACTTGTTTAGAAGTTTAATTCTCCCCTCCCTACAAGGGATTCCGATGCAGGAATTCAGGGGTTTTGTCCGAAGCCACTGCGAAGTGATGCTTGGAGCCTATTCCAGTGTGGAGGGCTTTAGAAGGCTGCTTGTCGCTGAAAGGACTTCAGGCACAGCAGTCCTGGACACCCTCCAAGAACTGGGAGCAGCACATGCCCATGATACACAACCAGAGAAAATGGACGCACACTGCTCCCTTCCGTGCGTGAAGGAGTGCAGTTCCTTCACAGATTTCCGGTTCTTCTCCATGGATCGTCTGATCATCAGAATAAAATGGTTGCTTTCCCACTCTGCATTGTTACCGCTTTGCTGTGACAGTCTGTACCCGGGAAAGTGGATGTGTCCTTGCCTGTGTTTTCCTGCTCCCGCTAGCATCCTACAATAAAGAGAACTGGATCAACTTTCCCAGGACGAGTGCTTGGGAGGGAGTGGAGTTAGGGAAGAGACTAGAGTGGCCGGAGGGCCATGAAACAAACACTTCTGCTCTTGATATGCAGCAGCTGGTGAAACCTTGTCTTGCAGATTATCTTATTGAAACTCCTAAGGATGGTGTGGGTTGCATACTATTACCTCCTTGTTGCAGAGAAGGAAACCATATCAGAAAGGCTGAATATCTCACCCAAGATCACAAAACCAGTATGTGCTGGAGGGATTTGAACTCAGGCCTGGGTGAGCATTGCTCTCACACTGTTTCTCTGAAACTAGGATGGGATGTAAAAGTACAGGGATTTTACAGGGATCAGGAGAGCTTGGACAAAGTCATTTAACTCCACTGAGCCTCAGTTTTGTCATTTGGAGAATGAGAGGTTGAACTTGATGATCCCTAAGACCCCATCTCACCTAGATATTTTTAAAAATGAAGGATCATTAAAATTTGAAAGCAAATTTTGAAAGTACTCTGCTTGATAGCTGCTGTTGCCTCCACATGAGAACACAAGAACACAACTACGCATATTCCTAGAATGTGGGCAAAGGACTCATTTAATTCCTCAACCTGTGTCTTTGAAATGGTTCAGAGGAGCTGAGACTGCCCTCTGCAAGTGCGCTGTGCCTCACTTTTCTAGAGCTATTTTGTTCAAAGCTCTCAGCATGTTTGTACTTGAGCTTGGTTGAGTACCTGAGCTTTAAGGTGTTTAAAGTCCACCCAGCCAAATACTGGCATTGGCTCTCTGGTGCAGATGCTGGCAGGGCTTGGCTGCCTTCCCTGACCTTGCAAATCCTTGCTCTTCCTACCAGCCACCTATGACTTACATCTGATCACTTGCACCTCTCCAAATCGCTTCTGAAGCCAGCCCTGATCTCTTGGAGAAAGGAATCTCTCAGTATATAACCCAGTGTGTCTTTCCCTTCCCACTCCCTGTGTGTTGGGGGGATTTTGCTTTCTCCACTTTGAGGCTCAGTTCCTCCTGCTCCCCAGGTCTACCTGTAACTTGAGAAATGAGCTTGTTCATGCCTTGGGCTCCACCTCCCCTTTGTGTTTGGTCACAGAGGTCACAGTTGCTTTTGGGGAGTCTGAGCCTGAAGCTCCCCCACAGATCCCGTTACTGCATGCTCACGTTTTACCTGTCAAATCAAGATACCAACATTTAGTGTTACAGGGTAGGTAGGGACAGCTTGGTCATGACAAAAATCCATACTCCAGAGTTCTCTTTTCCTCAGGTCTGGCAGGACAGAGCTAATTATTCATTCACTGGGCATGATTTGTGTGCAGAGATGAAAAATGTCACTTAGGTTGACAGAGTAACAAGGTGGTTGGGGCATGCCACGGACAGCAACCTTGTCTTTGTCCTGCCCCAGTGTTGAATCCCCTGCAAGGCACCACTTGCCTTTTTGATCGAAGTGAGTAGCAAGAGACCTCTAGCCACCCCTTCCCACTGTTAACCCCAGCAGTTCCCCTCCACAGGCTTTAGAAAGGGCAGCAGTGATAGCCACAGGGAAGGGCTTCTCTTGAAAGAGATGGATGGGGCGTGAGAATGCTCAGCCCATGGAGGCGCTGACAAGATTGATGTGAGCCGGCGCAGCGGCTCACTAGGCTAATCCTCCTCCTTGTGGCGCCGGCACACTGGGTTCTGGTCCCGGTTGGGGTGCTGGATTCTGTCCCGGTTGCCCCTCTTCCAGGCCAGCTCTCTGCTGTGGCCAGGGAGTGCAGTGGAGGATGGCCCAAGTGCCTGGGCCCTGCACCCCATGGGAGACCAGGATAAGTACCTGGCTCCTGCCATCGGATCAGCGTGGTACGCCGGCTGCAGTGCGCTGGACACGGCGGCCATTGGAGGGTGAACCAACGGCAAAGGAAGACCTTTCTCTCTGTCTCTCTCTCTCTCTCACTGTCCACTCTGCCTGCCAACAAATGATACTAACACAAAAAAAAAAAAAAAGATTGATGTGCACCTGGGCTGTCACTCCAGTTGGAGTGTGTTCTGGTTGTTCTGGTTGTGTGCACATCTCAGAGGAGGGGGGTCCTGTCTGGGGATGGAGGCGTGTTGGAAGTGAAGGGTGCAGGCTTTGGTAAGATTAACTAAAGCAGGTGCTGTAGTCCATGTTGCTAAACAAAATACCTGAGACCGGCTAATTTATAAAGAACGGAGATTTATTGGGCTCTTGGTGTTGGAGGCTGGGAAGTCCAAGAGGGCGGCACTGAGATCTGGTGAGGGCTTCTTGCTGCATCGTAACATGGCCGATGGCATCACGTGGTGAGACAGCAAGTGCACCCGAGACAGCTTGCTTCTATGACAGAGCTGCTCCCCTGACAACCCGTGAATCCATGAAGAGATTGATTCATTCCTGCAGGCAGAGCACTCACCTGCTAAAGGTCCCACCTCTGAGTATCATTAACGTAGGAATTTGGAAATTATTTTCCCAAAACATGAAATTCAGGGGGATATACTCCAACCATAGCACAGGATCAGCCAGGCCGCTGCACCCAAGGTGAGGCAGGGAAGAGGGAAGAGGGCTCAGCCCCAAGGAGATGGGGCTATAATGAAATAGGCAGAGATCCTTGTTACAGAACTCATCCCAAGGATGAGTGGAGCAGAGAGCTCTGCAAAGACCTACGAAGACAACACTGGCTTCCTCAGAGGGGTAGGTACCCACTGCGGCCCAGCATAGCCAGCTCTTGGTAAGGAGGTAGCCAAGACAACTCCTAACATGCCATCACCTGTCACACCCTCACATGCCACTAATGCCAGCTAGCCCGGCATTGTCTGCTGGCTTGGCTGCATGGAAGGGACTCTGTCGATAGAGAGGCTCTAGTTGCAAGACCATCTGCCAGGGTCAGCAAAGTGCAGAGACTGAGCTCCCGACACTCCATATTAGATGTCATCACAAGGTTACCACTGGCATGGCTGCTGGTCCCTGTCATAGTTTGAGACGTCTCCCTGGGAGGAGCTGCCCCTTGTTTTAGAAGGGCTGCCCTCTTGATCCTGTCCACACTTGGAGAAGCTATGGCTTTTGATGGTTGCTCTCTCACCAGTGCCCACAGAGTTCCTCTCCCCCTCCACTTGTCTGCAGGTCCTATAGTGTTCTTGAGATTTAATTTTTCCTACAGGAGGAACAATTGTTTTAGCAGCCAGATCATTTGTGCAGTGTATTGCGAATCTGTGCTCTGCTGTAAATAAAAGCATGACTGATTGGGTCACTCTTCAGCTCATGCCAGGGGAATACAAAGTTGGGAGTTCTTGTCTAATACATGACACCGTGAATCTTTGTCCACTGCACCGGAAGTTGTGCAGAAAGAGGAAAGTTAGCCGACATAGGACCTGCAAGTCACAGTGAGGTGAACAGAGAAGAGGGCGTCCGCATTCTCTGCAGGCTGCAGCATCCCAAGACCTGGTCAGGGCTTCCAGGACCCTTGGGCCAGTAGCTTTGAACCATCCCTGGAAGGCATTTTGCTCTCCCTGGGGATCAAAGAGATGTTTAACAGGCTCCAGGGAAGCTTCTGACCATAGCAGCAGAGCCCCAAACCAAGTAAGCCTAAACATGAGGGAAGGCTGCTAAGCCAGTCTTATTTCCTGTTTTTCAAATCTGTAGATGTTTATGCATGGGCTAGACTGTCTGTTTCCAGGGCTGTTTTCATTAAACACTCTCCTTTTGGGGACACCAATGTGTAGACCTGAAGAATTGGGCTGGTCCTTGGTAATGATCCAGAGATAAGTGCTGGGTCCCTGGACAGGCAGGCAGAGAGTTCTGAGAAAACCAGAGGGAAACTGTTGAGAAGATGGAGGAGAATTTTCTGAGTGTGCCCTTGTTTGCTTCTCTGCAGGTTTTGGCTGGTGATCAAGGAAGATGGACACATGGTTACTGCCCGGCAGGAGCCTCGCCTTGTGTTGGTCTCCATCAGCTATGAGAAAAACAGCCTGATCTTCAGCGCTCCGGGGATGGACCAGCTGGTGTTACCCAGCAGGCCACCTTCCACTAACACACTCCATGACTGCAGGTGTTCTGGCTGGGGACATTCCACGAACTGCAACAGATTTGGTTTAACTTTAGGTTCCTCCCTGCTTTCTGTCTTGTTTGTTCAGGAGGTGATGGAATTGGCAAAGGAACTAGTTAAGAGACATATAGTCTGGGTCAGGATTGGGCCAGTGCTCAGGTGCGAGTGGGTGACGCAGAGAATTGTTTCATTGGTACCTAGGGTTAGGTTGAATCACTTAAGGCCTGCGGACCCAGCAGTGACTGTCCTGCAGAAAGAACCTGTTTATACTCACACATTTCTAGAATGGGAGGCATGGCATGCTGCATGGGGTCACAAGGGAAAGCGCCAGGTTCATCAGCAGGCAGAGGCAACAAAGGGCAAGTGCGGTCAGCAGCCTTCACGTGGTTTCTGCAGGAAAAACAAAAGCCTGGAGGTGGCCAGGTTTCGGGTTGGCCAGGTTGAATAATTTCAGCAGGCTGTGGGGCATGGAGGTTGTCCCTGGTTGTCTGCTGCCTGGCCCTGGGGTGGTTAGGATGTACAGCCCAGCAAGAAAGGGCTCACGGGAGGTACTTGGTGGTGTGGACTCTTTCATGTGAAAGGCATGCGTGCAGGATGACTGGTTTACTCTCTTCTGGGATTGGCTGGCTCTGGGAGGGGCGGCCCCTTCGGCATCAGCAAGGAGCACCAAAAATACAGAAGAGCATGACTAATACAGGTGTGCAGGGGGTACAAGGTGCCAGTCTTTAAGGCTCGTCTCCTTTCATTCAAGTCAGATGCACCTTTATTTCAGGATATCCAGCCCTCCAGCCAGGCATTCAAGGGAGTTAGTGGTGCCTGTAGCAGCAGCAAGTTAGGGCTGCACAGCAAGGATGCTGGAGCGATCTGGAGAGACTCTACAGCCTTGTTGTCCATGGTGGAGATGGAGGCAGTTGTAGGAAGCACTGGGTATGAGGGATCCTCACCTCTCAGGCTTTGGATTCTTTTCAGTCTAGGGGAACCCCTGCCAGGCTGGCAAGTTCCAAAGCTTGCCGAGTTTTGTCCTTTGATATTAGGAAGTGTAAGAGACTTGGATGCTTGTCATAGACTATTCTGGCTCCCTTTGTAATTGAGCTTTTTAAGCATGTGGAACTCAGTATTGCTCAACGATCCCAGGGCTCAGAGGAGAGCCTCAGATAGACTGCTTGAACCCTTATCCTGTGATTTTTCAAACAGATTGAGCTACAACCCAGTTTTCAAAACTGTGAAGCAATAATTCACTGAATACAATATTTTAGTTAATTCTCTAAGCAAGCCTAAGAAATGAGTACCTTTAATTCTGCTTTACAGATAAGGAAGCCAAGACACCAATCACTGTCACACCAAGGTGGAGCTGAGATTTGAACCCACCTGCCTCCGAGGCCTTTGCTTTTAACACCTATGTGCAGAGAGAGAAAATGATTCTCCCTAATGACATATTTTGAGCAGACAAATGCATTGATGAGAAACACTACAGCCATCCCCACTAGACTGGAGGGCATTTGAGGCTGGAGGGTGCCTGCTTAGCTCACATGCGTGGAGTGAGGATATGGGTGTTGACTCATTGGCAATAATCGTTTCCCCTCAGGCTCTTTAGCCCTAGGGAGGCACAAGTCTTTCTTGGATGGAAAGCAGGAGAAAGGAGGCTGCTGTGGGGATACTGACCCGGGACTGAAAAGGGTGCCAGGTGGAGTGGTGTAGTGTGATTGTCTTCCTCACATGCATTGTGTTTCTGCAGATCTCCGAGAGCTGTGCATTTGGGCTGACCCAGAGGTGGAATCCACACTCTGATCCTTCCAGCTGGTTAGGCCTGTATTTATGAGCCATTTTTTTAATGGATTGGTTGTCATGGGGATGGGTAAAAACTGAAGAAATTGTATAAGATGGTATCTTAGCTCCGGCTGCTATAACAAAGTACCATGGACTTGGAGGCTTAAACAATAGGCATTTATTCTCACAGCTTAGGAAGCTGGAAGTCTAAGATCAGTGAGAGTATAGATTCAGTATCAGGGAAGGGCCTTGCTCCGGGGTTGCAGACAGATACCTTCTCCTTCTTAAAAGGCCTTTCTGTGGTTGCACTTGGGGGAGGGGGCAGGGAGGCAGGGAGGCACGGAGAGCTCTTGTGTTCCTTCCTCTTGTAAGGGCACTTACCCCATCACCAGGCCTCCACCCTTTTGCCTTCATCCAAACCTAATCACCCAAAGCTCTTACTTCCAAATACCATCACAGTAAGGGTGAGGGCTTCAGTACAGGAAATTGGGGGAGACACAAGCATTCAGCTCATAGAAGATGAGCTGAATAACTAAAAAAATCATAAAAAACATACAAATTTTTAAAAAATAATTTCTATCATAGAAGATGGAAAATGACAGGGATTACCATACGCAACACCAGCCCACTAGAGATTAAAACAAAATAAATCACAACCTCAAGTTGGAAATAGAAAAGTCCCTTAACAGAGTCATTTGGACAGGCTGAACGTCCTGGGTGTCACTTTATTTTTCAGCTTTCACTGGCAGGGTACACAGGCAACTGCAGAAGAGCTGGTCTGTTTGGAGCAGTGGACAGTGTGGTTGCAGCTGAGCATCACAGGAAGGGCTGAAGGCCAGGAGAGGGACATCAGAGGGACAGAGGGACAGAGGCAAGAAGGAATCTGGGCCAAACAATGGCTCCAAGAAGGGGGTTAGAGGGGAAGCAAAAAACAGAGAAACATTAAAAGAGCAGCTTCAAGCTTTGACAATAGACGGGATAGGAGGTGAGAGGGCGAATCTACCTTTCGGACCAGGACGTTGGGCCTCCAGGTACCTAAGGGCCCATGTGAGCACCTCAGGTGTCCACATGGATTGCCTTTCCTTGTCTCACCTCTGGAATCAGCGTGCTGGCGCAGCATCCACACAGGATGTGTGTGTGAAACTCCTCCTAGAGTACTCGAAGGTAGGGGCACTTCAGGGCAGTGCTTTCCAGATGTTCAAATCCCATTGGCTCTCAACACTGATTCAGATCACACCCGGAACCCTCTGCCCACCCCACATCTTACTTGTGGCATTGCCCCCGCATGGAAAAACTGATGTTGATAAACAGGATGATTCCAATAACAGGGTGAAATTGTTACAGGTCAGTGGTTCCAACTTGTTCATCTTACACTAAAATGAAGGCGCCTCTATTAAATTACTCAAAGTAACTTTTATTACTTTGAGAGGTGGTGGAGGGGGAGAGTTCCCATCCACTGGTTCCCCAAATGCCTGCAAAAGTTAGGACCAGAGGCCAGGAGCCAGACACTCAATCTGCGACTCCCGTGTGAGTGACAGGAACCCAGCCTCTTGAGCCATCACCTGCTGCTTCCCGGGGTCTGTGTTAGCGGAAGCTGGAATAGGGAGTGTGGATGGAGCTCTGCTATGTGGTGCAGGTGTTCCAAATGGCAAAACACCTGCCCCTAAAGCATACTTTTTGGTGACAGATCAGTATGTGGAAAGTATTTTAAGAGGTTTCAAAGAATGAATTAAATAACCATAACACATCATCTTTTCCTATGTAGTTATGTGGAAGATTTCTCTGGGCTCCCTGCTACCCATATGGGAGAACTGAATCGAGTTCCAGGATCCTGGCTTCAGCCTGGTCTTGCCCTATTATGGACATTTGGGGAGTGAAATAGTACATGTGACATCTCTATCTCTCTCTCTGCTATTATGGACATTTGGGGAGTGAAATAGTACATGTGACATCTCTCTATCTCTCTCTGCCATTTAAGTAAATAAAATAAATTAAAATTTAATGTTTTCTGTGTTCACTATGTGGGAAGGATAGGCACTATATTATTATCACCAATATACCAATGGACACAGAAGATCAGAGGAATTATGTGATTCACTTAAGGTCATGGAACTAGAGGAAGGGTTCCAATGTGAACCAGGATCCAAGCGCAGGGCTCTCCTGCCACAGGCAGTCCTCTTCTGAGAGCATCTCAATCCTTGCTGCTCAGCGTGCGCTCCATGGGCCAGCAGCGTAGATCTCAGGAAGCTTGTTTGGAGTGGAGGCTCTTAAATGCCCACACGGACCTACAGGTCCAGTGTCTGCGTTGGAGCAAGATCCTGGGTGATTCATACGCTTGGCAGAGTTCGGGAAGCTCTTCCCTCTCCCCTCTGCTTCTGCCCCGCTACGACTCTCAGACCACTCCCGAGTCCCCTGGGACACTCAGGTGCCGCCAGCCCAGCTGTGCCATCTTTGACACCATCACTCAGTGCGTTGATGTCAGTAACCGAGTGTTCTCCTGTGACCCTTCCAGAATATTCGGTGTTGACATCCAAGGCAGAGACTGTGGTGACGAGGTCGCTCAGTGGTTCACCAACTTCTTGAAAACGGAAGCATTGAGGTTGGTTCAGTTTGACACGAAGTTGAAGGGAAGAACATCGGACAAACTTTTCCCTGTTTCTGTACAGAATTACCAGGTGAGCGGCAGAGTTTAACTTCACCTCTCTCAGCTGTCTTCTGTCTCTCTGCTTCCTTCTGGGCCCATGAAAAACCTCTAATGGGACCCCAGGTGGGAAAATATGGTAATGAACCAGGTGAGTGTTGAGGAAGGCACACCTGCAGGGATTCCAGGTGTGGAGAGGGAAGTAGACAGACAGATGCCTCCAAAGTGGGATGCCTGGGTGCATGGCGGATTGAACAGGGGAGGTGCCATGGAGGCACAGTCGGGGGTCCACAGCTGGTGGGTGGAGACTCAGGAGAAGCCACAGTGAGAAGTTTGGGGCCAAATCCAAGTTTCCTGAAATTACAGAAGCAGACCCTTTAGGCCCTCCTTTCATAGTCTGTGTGGCAAGGCCATTTCAGGGCTGGGAAGGCACCTGCTCCTAGGGAAAATGGCCCTGGGCCAACCACAGCCCCAAGACCAAAGCCTTTGAGTCTGCAGTGGGGTTTAAAATGCAAGTCCCTCGGGGAGGTGCTCCCAGCGCCCCTGAACTGCAGGCTCCCTGAGGGCTGGGCCTTTGCTCGCTTTATTGCTGCTCCCCCAGCTAGAGCAGTGCCCGGTGCCGGGCGGTGCCTAGTGAGTGCTTGTGGAGTCAGTGGCTGTGGTTGAAAAGTTGACTATGAGCAATTGACTGGTAGCGGACCCTTCCCTGTGGGGTGGCTGCTGGGGGCGGGAGTGAGGAACACCGGAGAGGAGGCCTTGCAGGTGAGATTGGCCCCCGCTGCTGCCCTATCCCTGGCCGTTTCCACGTCCACCGTCACCCCTGCCCCCCGATTGTCCACATGAGGTGGCTTTGTGCCTGGACTGGGCTTCGCTCTGCGAGGGGTGCAGCTTGTTTCCTGGGACGCAGAGGCTGCATGGTGCTGTGTTCCTGGTACAGGTGGCCTACCCAGACTGCAGCCCACTCATGATCATCTCGGAAGCCTCCCTGGGGGATCTGAATACGAGGCTGGAGAAGAAAATCAAGATGGAGCAGTTCAGGCCCAACATCGTGGTGAGGGGCTGCGAGGCCTACGAGGAGGTAAGCGGCCCCCTGCTTTTGTGCGTTGTGCGTGGTCTGCTGGCGAGGGGGTTAGGAGAGGGCCAGCTCACATCCTCTCCTTCCCTGAGATTCTCGTCAGCCTTGTGGGGCTGTGGCCTCATTGCTGCCGCTGTCACAGGCTCGGCACTGCTCACCTTCCAGTGCTCCAGCCCCGACGCAAGCAATCAAGTCACAAGCAGTCTGAGAGTGGAACACACAGCATTAGGTCAGGGATCATGGACAGAAATGGAGATGAAGGAAATAGCTGCCTCCCTCTTCCCTGTATCACCTGCCAATGCTCTCAAAGACCTGAGACTCCTAGAAGCCCCAGACCCCAAAATGCAGGCCCAGAGCCTGCAGGGAACCGCTTATGAGTAGCACCCGAGACACTGCTTGTGGTGGCTTGAGCGCTCTCGCATGTGCTGGCCCCCTCTTGACTGACACTAGAACTTTCTGGGCTCTTCAAGGCCACTGCCTTGCAGCTCTAAAGGGACGAGACAGCCACGTCAGACCCCAGCAGCAACACAGCTGTCAGTCTGTGAACTCCACTCGGCAAAGGCTGCTGGGTGTGAAGCCTGGGGCTGGGGAGTGGAGTGGGTGACTCTCAGCACTGGAAGTCAAGGTGACAAACAGCATCTGCTGGGGTCTTCCAGGGTGGGAGGCACCAAACTAATTAGCCACTTCAGATAAATTACTTTAATTACTTCATATAAATTGCAACAACCTTGTGAAGTCTGGCTTATCCTGCCCCTTTTTATAAGGAAACAGAGGCTCAGAGGGGCCCCAACTTTGTCTACAGGTAAGCAGTGGCAGTGGAACCCCAGACCCACAACTCTGCAGAGCCGGCACGATTCCCCTGTTGAGATCCCAGGTGGTTCACCCCGAGGGAGAAGGTCTGGGACACGCTGTTAGTTCTTCCATGCCTTGAGATGGGCACATTTCTGTCTCCAGGAGTAGAACCTGCCGTTGTGGTTGGTAGATGTCCTTGCAGCTTGACCTTTGCTTAGAGCCTGCTAGAAATCCCCGTACAGGTAGCTGCTCCATAGTATTCGATGCTATTTTAAACATTGTATAAAGAACTCAGCGTCTTCTTGTTGTTATCTTGAATTTGTTACCTCGATCCTCCAGTTCTTCTTTACATGTATTAATTTTTAAAAAGTTGATCACCATAGGAGAGAGGAGGGAGGGGAGTGGGAGAGTGGGTAGTGGGTAGGAAGGTGGGTCTGGTGGGAAGAATCACAATATTCCTAAGGTTGTACTTATGAAATGCAAAAAAAAAAAATTGATCACCTATTGTGGGCCAGGCACAGGGTCTGGAGCCCTGGATACAGAAATGGAAAGAGGGTGCCTGCCCTGCAGGACTTCCCCGTGTGAGAGGCACGGTCCTGAGACAGTGGCAGCGTGGTGGTGACACACTCAGAAGACACCAGGGATGCCGAGGTGTAGAGATGCCTGGAGGCGAGTCTTTGTCACACTGCCTGGGACACCCACATTCCATGTCCAGGGCCTGGGTTCAAGTCCCAGCTCTGCCTCCAATTCTAGCTTCCTGCTAATGTCCACCCTGGGTAGCAGCAGATGATGGCTCAAGTTCCTGGGTCTCTGTCACCCATGTGGGAGACTGGATTCAATTTCAGCCTTCTGGCTTCTGCCTGGGCCAACTCTTAACTTTTGTAGGCATTTGGGGAGTGAACCAATGCATGGAAGATCTGGCTCTGGCTCCCTGCCTTTCAAATATAAAAAAAAATAAAAATTGTGTTTTTAAAATAGCAGTTCCCTTAAAACAAATTTTGAAAAAGAAAGAAGTAGCAATGCCTAAATCCATGTGGAGATGGGGCTGAGGAGGGGTCAGGTGGAGACGCCTGGCAGCAGTGCTGTGCGTCTGTGCAGGGTGTGGGGGCCAGGGTGGGACAGGGTTGCTGTGATAAGGAGGGAGCCACAGCAGGGACACAGGCATGCCCGGCCATGACATCCAGGGGTGCCTGCAAGTATTTCAGTATCACACGAGTACTGCGGGTGAAGGAGAGGTGGCAGGAGGGGGCTGGCCTAGGACTGGCTGGCGGCCACCGTAAGGAGGGGTTTGGATTTGATACTGTGTATGTTGAGGAGCTGGGAATGATTCTGACAAGGAAGTAATTAAGATTTGCATTCATCCAACAAGTATTCGGTACATGCTTCCAGCGTGCCAGGCCCGGTGTCACACTGCAACTGCCCAGAATGTTCGATGAGAGCTAGGAAGGCCTGGGGCAGAAAGCCCAGTGCCACACTTAATCCCCAGGGTCATCGATCTCACATGGGGCTCTGCAGACCTTACCCGTGGCCTCTAGCAGCAGTGCGAGGCGTGTGACGTATGCTAGTGCAGCAACAGGGGCAGCTCACTCTGAGGGCCCCGGAGAAGCAATGAGACAGCAGGTGTGGGGGGCATGGAGGTGAGAGACGAGGGGATTGTGGAGGACATGGGAGAAGAAGAGGCCCCCACGTACTTAGGGACCAGCTCCTTTCTCCCCAGGAATAAACCCGATCTCACAGGTTCTGATATATATACAATTTAGGAGCCTCTTTAGGAAAAAGAAAGTAACTGAAGCAAAATTATGTGCAGGTCCTTGAAAGACCTGCCTCGTTTGCTTCCCTGTTTCTCCCAGTTGAAGGTTTCCATGTTGTCTAGTTGTGTGCACATCAGATGGAGCCATTCCATGCTTGTTAACCATCAAATGAAATCAGTGCTTGGTTGTAAGAATGCACGTTCCTAAAGACTGGATTAGAAATGAGTCCACAGGGGCGGTTTTCATGTAGCAGTTAAGACACCCATGCCCCATACCAAAATACCTGGGTTCGAGTCCTGGCTCTGGCCCTGACTTCAGCTTCCTGCTAATGTGTACCCTCCCTGGGGCAGCAGGTGCTGGCTCAAGTAGTTGGGTCCCTGCCAACGATGTGGGAGACCTGGGTTGAGTTCCTAGCTCCCGCGTTCCTGGGATCTGCAGAATGAACCAGAGGATAGGAATTCTCTCTTTCTCTTTTATTTTTATTTATTTTTTAAAGATTTATTTATTTATTTGAAAGGCAGAGTTACAGAGAGACAGAGGCAGAGAAAGAGAGACAGAGAGAAAGGTCTTCCATCCACTGCTTCACTTCCCAATTGGCCACAATGGCCAGAGCTGTGCCAATCCGAAGCCAGGAGCCAGGTGCTTCCTCCAGGTCTCCCATGTGGGTGCAGGGGCCCGAGGCCTTGGGCCATCTTCTACTGCTTTCCCAGGCTATAGCAAAGAGCTGGATAGGAAGTGGAGCAGCCGGGACTTGAACTGGCACCATATGGGATGCTGGCACTGCAGGTGGTGGCCTCACCCACTACACCACAGTGCCGGCTTCTCTCTCTCTCTTTTTAATAATGATAATAATTTGTCCCCAAAGCAGCCCTGCCGTTTGTCCATTATTTTCTGAAAAGCTTTCTTTCAGGGAATATGATTATTTTTGTGGATTTGTCTCTGTTGAAGGGTAATTTGTTTTATTACTAATCACTTAAAATCTTGAGTCAAGGGAATAAGAAAAGATGCCTCATCCCTGGCTGAAAAATGTTTCCCCTCCTATAACTTGTCAAACGTAATGTAAGGTAAGCCTAATTCTGCTCTCAGGCAATTGGAGTGAGTAGAGTCTTTTTTTCCTTAAATAACAAACTGTTGAGTGAATTTGTGCTGACAAATCCATTTGTTGTTTTACTCCTACACTGTGGTGAACTCACAGGAACAGTAAATAAGATCACTCTTGGTTCTCTGGAGGAGTCACCTGGCCATGCACATTTAACAAACAAACAAAAAGACCCTTACCATGATGATAATGTTGCTGATTTACTCTGTCTTAAATTAGGAAGCCCACTAATTAAGGACCTGACATATTTGCTTGCCTACCTAGCACCACACTAAACTAGAATCCTTTCCATTAGTGGGGCTC